GGCACACCCAAGTGAGAAAGGATCCCTTCACTCGGCCAGCATGGCCTAAGATTGCCTACGTAGGGGAATAACCTTACTAAGAGGCATGTTTCAGCTTACGCAGTACTGACATATGCAATGTTACAAACATATGACTGCCTGCTAAAGTAACCTTCCATAAATCCAGGAATTAATTAATGCAATAACATATTAGCATCTGCAGAATTTGCAGGTCTTATTGGTTTTGCCTATTTCCGAAACATTTTCTAGTTTTTCATGCTATAAAGTCGGCATTGCTGGAAGATAATCAAATGCTTCAAGAAGAAGCAGCCTACAATTTACATCTGAGCCAACTTATAATTGTTTACACAAACTATATATTGTCTTCTTGTGCACCAAGGACTTCTACCGGATTAGGAGAACATCCAGAGCACTTTTCACACATCTTACCCCCAAATCCAGTTCATTACATGTAAAATCTTACCACCTATGGAATCACCAAATCTTTAAGGCAAACTCAACCATTTCTAGTATAATAACTAAATGTACTGCTTCCAGCAATTAACTCGATATTCAAAAGAAAAAAAATCCTTGAACATAGTATTCCAAAATAAATGATACTCAGGAAATTAAAGAAAGATTCAAACTTTAAAAGAATTACCTGCAAATTAGGCTGAGAAGCTTTCTGGGTTGACTCGTTTTGACGGTAAACGACATCTTTTTGATCTTTTGGAGTTGAAATGGCTGATGCAGAAGCCATAACGGTTGAATATCGGCCGCCACTGCCCAGAAAAGAGTTGGTTTTTAAGGAAGAGTCAAATAAAGGAAAGGGTCCGAATCTAGAGTTCAACAATCTACTAAAGCGAACATGTGATTGTGTCCAGATACATTGGTTCGGAAAGGAGGCGGCGTGAAGCATGACCCTTTTTTAGTACGGAATTACGGTTTGGAATGGGAAATTGTGAATGGAATTTGGTTCCTTGAAGGCTTGAATGGAATCTGCTTCCCTGTCGGATCCGGTCTAACAGAGTGGACTTTCATATATTTTCCGGTTAATTACATTTCTCCCCCTGAAGTTTGACCAAACTGCCAATAAAACCCTAAAATGTAGCAATATTACAGAAATGTCCCTCATTATGCTAAATGCATAACCGCTAGTCAGTCCATCACCTCAGTCCGTCACCTGTTGGCTGTTAAAGTACGGCTGGCAATTGCATGAAATTTTCTTCAACCTCTCTTTCAAAAGTAGTGCAATTGAAAGGTCGGGCAATTGAAAGGACTTAAGTCCCTCCTTAGGCTGTAGGTGAGGGTTCAAATCCCATCCGTCGCGAACAAAATTTCTAAGGGTTGTATCATAGCACTTTCTTGATCTAGTTGGGTCTGTATACTCATTAGCCCCTACCACAGTCTCCTTAGGCTTCCCCTCCCTCCCAGATTAGGATATAATATGTTATACAAATGTATCGTTGCTGACAAAAAAAAAAAGAAAAAAGGGCCAAGTCAACCCTAATGCAGTCATATGCCCACACATGTCTATCTCCAATCTCTACGTATATGTCATGAGAGACAGAATTCATCAAGAATCTCAAGGTTGATAAGATCCAAACATCTAGAATCAATTTTGGATAACCCACTGGCATCCATAGTATTACCTCCACCAAACCAATTTCTAAAGGACTAAATCCACTTTATACCTTTCAACCTATGTCACTTTTTCACTTTACACTCTAAATTTTAATTTTGAATATTTGGTACCTTAAATTCTTAATTTTGAACTCTTTACACCTTCTACTCTCCAATTTTTTCCATTTAAGTCCAATAAATAATTATGTTTGCAAAATTAATAAAATAAAAGATGGTGAAAATTAATGATAATGTACAATTTTATTTTTGCTACGATAGCTGGACACCTTTTGACCACTTTCGACACATCTTCATTGATTTGTTGGGTCACCTATGACATTAATTTTGCTAAAGTTATTATTGATTGGATTTAAACAGGACAAACTTGAGAGTTTAGTGTGTTAAGTATCCAAAATTGAAGTTTAAGGTGCAAAGTGAAAAAATTATACAAGTTTGGAGATGCAAAGTGAGGTAAGTCCATTTCTAATGGATCGAGAAAAAATGACTGAAATACCGTGAGGAAAAGCTCCTTGTATTTGACCAAGGAGTGAGAAAACACCAAAAATTAAGAATTGAAGCATAATATCCTCACACGAACTAAAGCCAAACCACCGATCTCCAAGTCCATAGCTACCAGTTGAATCCTCTTACTAGGGCATTTTTATTCTATAGTCAGTTGCGAAGTCAGGATTTTTAGTTAGGGGACGAATTTATAAATGTAGAAAAGTGCTGGTTTACTAGTTTGTTTTCAGAGTGATGATTTTTTTTTCCTTTTTTTTTTTTTGGATACCATGATGTCTAATTGCAGCTCAAAGTAAAAAGTTTTTAATCAAATTTAGGTTTTTAATCATTAGATCATTTTAACAAAATAACAGTAAATTTAAGTGTATGAAACATAATAAGTAAGCTATATATTTATTATTACATCAATATATACATTAATGTGCTTATTAGAAAAACTATTCATTTCTTTGTTTCCCTATTTTTATAATCTTAGTAAGATAAAAGTACAACTTCACTATGCTATAGTATCAAACTCTAAAAACGATCAATTTTCTAATGTAATTGGAAGGACACAAATAAAATTGTAGTTGTTGGGAAAGGGGTATCAGTACAGGCACAAAATATCAGAGTTAGCCCATGACAAATTTCTCTTTCCACAAATACCAGTTAAAATAGGAACAAACCAAATCACCAAGTAATAATACCAGCAGTGATAATAAAATGCAAGAAAAATAAAAGGCACAGGACACCAAGATTTTTACGTGGAAAACCCAATTGGGAAAAACCACGGGACCTAGTCCAGTAAAAAATCTCCACTATCACAATAATGGGAGTACACAGGTCTATCCGAAATATTCGGATGACAATAATATCGCCAGTACCAACCAAGCACAGTTGCTACAAAATCACCCAAAAAACTACAACTGTCAAAGAAGTGGGTTTGAAAAGGTGTTACCAAACGAAGAGAAAATTCGAAATTTGAATCGGTAGATGAGTAGAGTTTGATGAGAGGATCCCGTGTGTAAAATTTCGTCTCAATCGGGTTTCAAATCACCCTCCAATCAAGACTTTGAAGTTTCTCTCTCTCTAGCTATTTCTCTCTCTTCGCGTCTCTCAAAAGTGACGGCTGGCACTTTTTCTCTCACGCAAGGACCGAAGCAAAATTGCCTCCTCATGCGGGTGCTCTGTGTATTTAAGCATGAGAAGCCCTCAAGCTTTTGCATAAGTGGGTTGGCCCACAAATGGGCTTGCCCACACCCAACAGTAATTACATCTAAATCTTGGTCTTATATGTTCATGAAAAGTACTTTTAAAAATATACAATTTCATTAGTTCAAATTTTACATTTAAAAGATCACATGTATATAGGACTAAGTACTTAATATGAAACTTGGCAAAGTAAAATTGAATTCGAATGCAAAAACTAATTGAAATTTATACGCAATTTAACTTTCAAGAAATTTTTCTTAATATAATAGATTAACTTTTAACAAGTTAATATGTAATGCTAAAATAGTTCATAAAATATGAATGTATAAATAAATAAACTAAATAGTGCGTTAAAAAATATAGATTAGCTTGAAATTCAAATTTTTGTATTTGATTGAATAAGTGGATTTGTCCAGTGCTATATTTGTGTCTTGTAAGCAAGACCATTGTTCTGGGAGATGGGGGACAAAGGTTCAGGTTTGTCAAACTTGGAGAGAGAGGCAGATCGAAAGGGGGCTCTACAATGATGGTGGACTTCTTGAAATTTCCTAAAGTGCTTTGATTTTTTTGGCATTTTCAAGTTGATGAATACCTTTCTCTTTGTTAAAAAAGAAAATTTTCCTCTTATAGTTGTTTATTAGGCTATGTACTTGTAGTTTTGCCTGACAATTTTCTTTTTAGTTTCCTTGTTTAGTAGCATAATGTTGGCAATCTCTTCTTAAATTTTTTTTTTGAAAGTTCGAATATTTTATTTATACTTAAAAAGCTCTTCTGTACAAAACTTTTTTTACTTAGTCTTATGCATTATAGGGCATTTCTCTGATTTTGCTACTTCTGTTCGGTTTAAACACCATTAGTACCGAGAGAGGTGATTGTAATATGATCAAATCTGAGGGTTTGATTGATAATTTGGTCAAATTTTAAGGAAAGTAAATGCATAATCTTTATATTACGCCTAAACCCTTTTGAGGTTGAATTATATTATAATTAGTATTTTGATCTGCATTATGTACGGGTTTATGTTTTAAATTATAGTAATAATAAATAAATTATTTAAAATAATCATATGGTAAAAAGGCTAAAAAATAAAAGAGTATTATTTTAGTATTTAACTTATGTCGAAATATCGTACCTATTTATCTTGTTTTAAACTCTTAAAGTACACTAAAAAATATAGAAAAAGTTCAAAAAAGTACCTAAAAGAATATCAAAAGCACACCAAACATGCACCTTATCATCCCTCCCTTCCATATTCTTCCCTCTTTTCCTCTTCAAGCCACTTCCCCTATTTTATAAACCCTCTCTGTAGACACCAAAAATTTCATCGATTCAGTTTTAGCTTTATTCATTCAATTTTGACTTCCTTTGATTCAATTTTTAGTTTTATTATTATTATTTATTCTTGTCTCATATTTATTATTTTTAATTGATTGGAGGTTGCAAATGGTAATTGATGTTCATTCTTATTTTAAATGCATTAAAATTCATCATTTTCTTTTTAAAGCAATTTTACACTAAATTTTAGGAAAATCCCGAATAAAGATCCATTTTATCTTTTTAAAATTTGATTTTTTCTTGCTAAGGCATTTTGCAAGGTAATTTTTAAAAATTAAGCATGTTAAACAAGTGTGTCAATTGCATGTTGAACAAGTGTGCAAATAAGCATTAGACAAGTGGTCGAGGAATGGTAGGACAAGTGTATAGGGGGTAGCTGTCAAGGACACTTGGGGGGTTTTTTGGGGGGCATCGGAAAAAAAGGAAGAAAAAACCCTCGAAGAGGCTTGAAAACAGGGGGAAGAGAAAAGAGCTAAAAACAGAGGGGCCAAGCAGCGGGCAAGGGGAAAAAACAGAGGCTAGACAAAACAAGGGGAAGCTGGGGGCTAAGAATCTGAGGAAAAAAGGGAAAAAACACGGAGAAAAGGCCGAGGAGGGTGGCGGCTAAAAGGGAGAGCAAAAAGCAAAAAGGCTTGAGAGCTGAGAGGGCAGGGGCGGCGGAATTGCCGAGCAGGGGCAAAAGAACAAAAACAGAAAAATTTCGTCCGAGAGCAAAAGAAAGGAAAGCAGGAAAAAAGAGGAACCGGGCGGCGGGCTGAGCATAAATGGAAGAAACAATCAACGAAAAACAGCAAAAGGGAAAATAGGGGAGGTTTTGGCCAAAAAGAACAGAGCGACATGAAGAATAGAGGAAAAGTCCCCGGCCGCGAACGGAAGCAGAGGAAGAAAGCTTCAGCAAAAATAAAGGGCAAATTCGAAAAGCTTGTAGCTGCTGCCGTTCACTGGAATCACCATTGCTCGCCACCGCATCAGCGGAATTCACCGCTGCCGCTCGTGAATCTTCACCGTGAGAAACGATGTAAGCTATTCTTTCCCTTTTACATTTCAGTTTTTTTTTCTTCAAGAATGAATTTCAGAAGCATGGCTGCCGTGGGTCTGTCATCATGATTTTTTTTTTCTGTTGAGGGTCGGTAATTTTGTTCGCATATGTTTTCTGCGTGTGTTGGACTGAATTCCTTGCTTTTCTGATAATTTTGGGGCCGGTTGTAATGTAATTTAAGCAGAAATCTGTTGAGTTTTTTCATGCCCATTTGCTGTTTGCTAAAATGCCCGAATGAACCTTCTACTTGAAGATGATTTCGTTTGCTTTACGTACGAAGAAAATGGAACATTCGGATGGTTTTTGCTTGTCCGAACATAATGAACGATTCTCCATGATAGAAGCTGTGTTGGTTCGTTGTTTTTTTTTTCTGTTTTTTTATCTCTATGCTTGAATCCGAATCGATGTTGAGAGGGAGTATTGTTGTGAGTTTCATTGTTTGCTGGAATGATTGGAATCGAAACCAAATTTCTGGTTTTGCTAATCGAAAGGAAAGCTGAAATGCTTAACTGGTATCAGCAATGAAGAGGAAAGCCTCTGCGAAACATGAGTGAAGAAATGTCTAAAATTGCAATTTAATCCCTCATTTTCTGTCTCATTTCATTACGGCCCAAAATCTGGAAAAATCAAACTAATTTTGCCCTTTTAAGCTTATTCCTCTGTTTGCATATTTTATGTGATTTGTTGGATAGATTAATTCTGGGATTTGGATTATAATTATGGCCTAATAATTTTAGTTGATTTGCTAATCTTGTTAGGTTTGATATTATGATTTGGGTTGTGGGTAATAATAATTTGTTTGGATTTATGAAAGTGGGTTTAGTTTATTTTGTTTGGATTTTTTGCTTGGGCTTAAGGGGGGCTAAAGCCCACTCTTTTGTTGGGTTTGTTTTATTGATAAGTAGAGGCCAGCCCACATGTAGCCTCTGGGCTTTGTGGCAGGCTAAGGAGTCTTGGCCCAAACAAATAGAGAGAAGGGCCCAATGGCCTGTTAAGTCCAGTAGCCCAATGACGAAATTTCATTCCAGTCCCCTGACTTTTGGATATTTTTACTGTGGCCCTAGACATTTCCATTCCTTTCAATTGAGTCCCTGGTTTAATTGCAAATAGGCCCTTGAACTTTATTTTTGTTTAATTTTGGCCCCAAAATTTTTTTCAATCTTTGCAATCAAGTCCTCTCTTCTCTTGACTTCTTAAATGTGGTTTGTTGACATGATTTAATTGATTCAAATTCATGTTTATTTTTATCCTTTGTGATTATTTGCCAAATAAATTGGTGCCTTGACCATTTCTTTTATTTTGGAGGATAAATAAGTGATTTCACTTCAGTGGGGCCCAATTACAAGGGAGGTAACCTATATCTCCTTGATTTTTATTTCTCCTATGTGATCCAACGTGTTAAGTGTGAATTGCATGTCTACGTTGCTTTCCTTGCCATTCCTTTAACTCCTTTCATTTATTTCATTTATTTCATTTACTTTTGCTTTTTATTTAAATTATTCTTTATGGGGTATGTGTACACCTCTTGGCTTGTAATAGTTAGGGATTCAATTATTTTATTCCCTTTCCCCCTTTTAGATTGTAGTAGGGTCCCCCTAATGTAATAGATAAGGCTTGGAGGAGCATTCAATGAAGACCTATCGAAGACTTGTGCCTAGCTAGCAAATGTAATAGTTAGGGCTTTAATTGTCTCATGTGCCTTGCATGCTTAGTTGCTACGTGTTAATTTGCTTTGCTAGGGCCTTGCATCTAGTCGAGCATGCAAAATGTTATGTGCTATGTGTTTATAAGTGTTTGGCATGTCTACTCGCTTTCCATAGCCTGAATAAATGTGATGGATGAATGTACGTCACCACACTAGTCCAATGCTAGTTGTGGCTCATTATTTCATTAGGAATTCATAGAAAGGGCTAGTCCAACGCTAGACCCAATAGGATTTTTCCTTTGTTCTTCATTAATGTATTATTTGCCTGTTCACTACATATCATGCATTTTTCCTTAGTTTTATCATCTGGCATGCTCCTCGATTCCCCTTTCCCCTCATTTTAGGATTTTTGCATTTCATGCTAGTTATAGGGTTCATTTGCCTGAAGAGTCCCCTTCTGATAAGGGAAACGAGCGAGTGTGGCTACTCGATAGCCTTAGCACGCTAGTTTCGCCTTCTAATCAAAGGAAAGATTAAGTCACAAAGTTAGGACTCCCCGTTCCCGTCTTGATGCATTCCTATAGGATTCATGCATTCTATTCATTCACTATCACATACACTTTATATTCTAACCTTTTTTCCACATTCTCACTTCACACTACTTTTACACGTTTTCATTTAACTACTCACACTCTATGCCATATCACTCGCACACATGCACTTTATATTATTTTCACATTATCATTCTTTACTCACCTTACCTTGTAAATACATTTGCACACCTCCACTTTTCTCACTTCACATAAACTTACATTTTCACATGACATGCACCCCATTCATTTTTACGTCATTTAGGATTACGTGTGACCTCTCCAAAGGATCATTATTGGGTTTCACAATTAATGTGATTGGCACCACTCAACCTTTGAAGAGAAATTTCCCCCAATCCCCCTAGGTCTAGGTTTTTGCATTCATATAGACATATCCAATACGCGATACATACCTTGGGTAGAAAAATTAGGAAAAATTGGTTCAAGTCACGCAACTAGCCTTGGCTAGGTCGAAGGGGTGCCTTGGATTTTTATCCTTGCCTTCCCCTTCGTCAAATGTGACCCCCGATCCCTCTTTTGGTTACGTAGACCCAAAAGTTCTCAAAAAGGGTTTATTTACTTTTTTATTCAAAAACAAAAATCATTTTTGGGTGACTTGGTACACCCTAACTCTATACCAAGTGGCGACTTTATTTTTGATAGAAAAAACCCTTTTGAACTTCACTTGGCCAAATCGTCGCATTCTAAGTCCCATGGCCTTTTACTTTTCATTTTGCACACGCTCACACCACACTTCACACATCACACACATTTCACTTCAATCAAAAAGTGGGGCGCGACACTCTCTTCCCTTTTTCTTGATACCATTTTCAAATTTTCTATGCAATTTTTTATTTTCCTTTTATTCAAGTAAAAATTTATTTAGTAACTTGTTATATTTTTATATTTTGATTACAATGATGTACTATTTTGTTGCTCAAAAAATGTAGGACAAAAAGTAAGTAAAATTTTTAAAATAGATCATAAATGGATAATTAGGTGACCCACTCCCATTTAAGACTATAACCATTGATAACTTGTCTATTTTGAATCAGTAACTAAATAGGTATTTATGAGTTGATCCATTTAATAACCCACCCAAACTTACATAAACCACCCATTTTGATAGTTCTACCCCCATCTCATTGCTACAAATTTTCTCAACTATAGATTGCCTTCCTCCCAACTTTGTATTCCTACTTTCCTTTCCTTCATAATTCACAATGCGTTACCTCACTTTTCAAGTGTTTTTGGTCAAATAAAAAGTTAGAATTGTAGTCCTTGAGAAAAAGTAAGCTTTTGAGTGTAAACTTTGTAAAATACTACCAATTTTGATATTTCTCTATAAATAGGAGCCCAAAGAGAATTTTTTAAACAAATATTTGCTGTAAAAATTTTGCTAAAATAGTCCTAAGAACAGCCATCCAAATGCACATATGTTGATTTAAATTCACATATAAATTTTCTTCTATATTCACTATTTGATGTTCATGTGTTATATGAAAAATCATTTAGATGCTCGCATGCTATTAATGACGAGTTTATTCTGAGTGTCAATAACATGTCAGAATTATTAGTTATATACTCCAAATCCAATGTCAGAGTATAAATTCCAACAGTAAACATATAAACCTTTAGAAAAAATAAACCTAATGAACAAAGTCCAACTTTAAAAATATAAAACTTAGAAAAAACAAACCATTGGAAGTGCCCTAAGCTCACTAAATACCAAAAAATAATTCAAGAAAATATCTTTAGTTGTTATGTTTAAATAATCCTATTTCAAGTCCTATTCATGATTATAACCCAGAAGTACTTCATTCAATTGGGGTTTAGGATGAAGCTATCACTAATAGACATTTTAATAATGACATCAATTGTTGTCATTATTCACCATTAAAATATATGTACAAAATTTTAGATTCTATTAGAATTTGAATTATAATCCAAAGACATGAGATGAGTCAAGAAGTTTTTATTTTGTTTTAAGGAGGAAAAATATATTTATATATTTAAGTCAAAATTATTGACAAGAAGGCTTGGAATTGTAGCAGTTGTTTCCTTATTGATTTGAATGTTTGTTTTAATTTTTATAATATGCTATGTTGCCTTCAATTTTGGTGTTGCCAAATTAAATAATTTAAAGTAGGGAAAATCTAAATCCACACCCTCTCATCCTATGTCCACACCTTAACAACCAATATCCATACTATATATAAAAGGAGAGTATGGGGTTTGGTGTAAACTTTGTTTGTCACTTTTTGAATTTTCAACTTTACCATCATAATCACTAAATTTTACCTTTACCATGTGATTACATGTTACCCATATTGCCAACCAATGTAATCACAACTAATTTTCACCCATAACCACCCAAAAGCATTATAACCACCAATTACTTAAAATTCTATTCAAAAAGCTTTTAAAAGATCAAAGTTTACTTTTTGGCTTATGAAAATTTTATACTAAATTCTTTCAAATAAAAAGTGAGTGTTCCTAAATTGCTTACACATTAGATGTGCCCTTATCACTTGTGACAATTAAGCCCATATCATTTAATGATTTTCACTTATGACTTTTTACAATTCCAAAATTATCATGTCATACAATAAAAACAATTTGCCATAACACTATCCATCTCCTAATTATTTAATTTTTATTTTGTATGAGCGTACTAATATTTGTTAGGTTTATTTAGATGTGTATAACTATGGTATCATCTCTAATTTTCTGGGTGTTATTTTGGAAAGGGAAAATGACCTATTTCATCCCTTACATTTCGCAAAAATATTCTTTTCGTCCCTCACTTTTAAAATGAAGCAAATTCGTCCTTGACATTTAAAAATTAAAACTATTACATCCCTGAACCTAATTTTCAATCAAACCATCTAATAACCCAGCAATAAATTTTGAAAATAGAATTGATAGATCATTCGGTCAATTTCATCATATTCACATGACATTTATTAAACCAAAAAAATAAATATAATAACATAAAAGGCCATTCTTTGTCTTGGAATAGTAGAATTTTTTTTTTGATAAATCTTTTCATGCACCATTAGTATATCCCCTTGCGAATCTAAATGTGTATTATAAATATAAAATTTGGTGTTTAAATTAAAATTAAAATGATATGGCGGTACATAAAACCGTCAGTGTATACAATGATAATGTAGAAAAAATTAATATTTCTTTTTTATGTTATAATTTTTTCTTTTTTCTTTTTAAGTTCATTAAATTTCACATGAATATCAAGTTGAGTTAACCAAGTGATCTTCCAATTATACCCCCAAAATTTGTAATCAGGTTGATTGGTGGTTTGATTCAGACTGAAATTTAGGTTTAGGGATGTAATAATTTCAATTTTTAAATGTCAAGGATGAAATTGCTTCATTTCAAAAGTGAGGGACGAAAAGAATATTTTTGTGAAATGTGAAGGATGAAACCGATCATTTTCCCTTTTGGAAAAGTGTGCTTATATTTGATATGCTTATTTGATATGTGTATAGTTATATTGGGTATTATCTCAAGGGTTAGAACATTTTATTTCTTGTTGATGTTCCAAAAGATTGATATTACAATATTGTTATTTCTTTTTTGATGTTTCATAGAGGTGGTATCATCTCCTAAATTTTTGGTTTTTATTTTGCATGAGTGTACTAATATTTGTTAGGGTTATTTAGATACGTACAATTAGGTATCATCTCTAATTTCTAAGTGTTATTTTGGATATATGTACATATATTTCATATGCTTAATGTATACGTGAATAGTTATATTTGGTATTATCTCTGATTTTTTGGTTATAAAGGACATTATTTAGGTAAATTATGATGAGTTTACTTACTTTCATTTATGCATATGCAAGCCTACATTTAATATGATTGGAGAATTGTATCTATTTAGAGGTTATTATTATAAGGTGATAAGTGTTCATTTTTTATGCTTAAAATACATCTATTTGCTTACTTTTGTTAAGAAATTAGGGTTTTTAAGAATGAAACTAGCTCTTTAAGTTATTAATTTCTATAAACTTCATTTTATTTCAGTTACATGTACAATGTGCAATTGATATGGTATTTGTAGGATAATTTAATAGTTGAGTGCACTTGAATATCACTCTAGCATTGGTGATTCAAAGATCAACATACAAGGGGTTCAATTATCAAGAAAAGAGAATGAAAGGTCGTAAATCAAGTCCAAAAGTTCAAGATACACGAGCTAACAGCATGAAATACCTCATGGATCATCAACTGTCACATTTGAAACTTTGAAAAGAGAAAAGAAGCAGAACCACGAGGCGATCCAGGAAGTGTTGCCTCGCGGATCCCTGTGCCAATTCTGCAAGTTGTTCTATAACTTGCACTCGTTTTCACATTGCTGTTTGAACAATTTTTCTATAGAAATCCGATTGGAAACAGCTAAGTGTGAGTTGGAAAAGTCAAGGGCAATTTTATGACCACATTATGAGCACAAATTTCTCTTCAAAAATATCTATAAATACCCCTTGTGATTCATTGATTTTAGAGAGGAAGGATAGAAGAATTAGAGAGTGATAGTTGGAATAGAAGGTTGTGTGAGTAGAAAAAGAGAAGTTTTCTTAAAAACACAACAACCTTGTTGTGCTACACTTGAAGATCAAAGTTATAAAAGAGAAGCTTGAAGAGCTTGTTTCATTCACTTGAAAAGATTTCATCAACTTTTACTCTTTACTTCCTTGTTTGATTTATGTTTCATTTCAAGAGTTTTATATTCAATATGTTCAATTCTATGTCTAGCGAAACTCTTGCATCCTAGTGAAAAGATGAACTTGTAGTTCAAGATTGTGTGATTACTTGAGTTGATTTTGGCCACCTTGTGCACTTGTTTGTTCATATGTTTGCGTCTAATATGTGTAGTTGCTTGATCACCAACAATATATCATCCAAGCATGTGTTTGAGCTATTAATGTGCCTTGCATATATAGTATAAAATGTATGAACCTTAGATTACATCCTCATGTTTGTAGGAGGTGGATTTAGATGGAACATGTATGTAACTTCATTGAGATTCATGGACTCATGTTAAGATAATTTATCATGCAAATAGATAAAGGTTTGGTGTGAGGATTCTTCTTTATTTGTGAAAACAACATCCAAGAAATTAAGGATGGCTACTTCCTAAATAAGTCACAAGTTAAAGGCCTAATTTAACCAAGTCAATCACTATCTTGAAGCAACAAGAGATTCTAATCCCTAGGATCTTAATATTAAGAAGACCTAATCTAACTTTCTCAACTTTTGTTTCTTTTCTTTTAACTTACCGCCTACATGGTTGATTTACCACCTAATGGTCGGTTTTATATTTATTGTTTATGTTATATGGCCGATTGTACCGCCTAACTAACCTCTAACTTGTATGGCTGGTTTTACCGTCTAAATTAATCTCTTTAATTTTGTCATTGTTATTCTTTGATAATATTTAATTTGTTTAGATAATAAAATTAGTTGAAAAGCCTTGGTAATTAACCAATTCCCTGTGGGATCGACCCTAATCATTACTATACTCGTTTAACTTGTATACTTGTGGAAAATCGAGGTAATTAGACTAAATTGAATTGATAATTAGAAATTTATTAAACCACATAAGTTTTTTGTGCCATTGCTAGGGAATTGGATAATATTAGTCTAAATATTGTTTTAGTTCTTAATTTTTCTGATTTTTTTATATATATAGGAGTGAAGATAAGTTCTTTTACTTATCTTTTTGTTGTATTTTTGTAGTGCATGCACCGATTGCTTCGTGGCCTAGTCCCATTTGATCCGAAAATTGAAAGGACCGCTAGGAAGCCAAGATGAAGTGTACGATAACAACAACAACAAGGTGAAGAAAATTCAAGGGAAGAAAGTGCAGGTGAGATTTTGATTGAGCAGTCTCTAAGAGAAACAATGGAAGAAGAACGAGTAAATCAGAACCATCAAGCCTTAAGGGAGTTTGCATTGTCGGATATTTCAGGAGAACAAACAAGTATCGCAAGACTGGCAATTAATGCAAACAACTTTGAGATTAAACCCTCCTTGATTCAAATGATCCAACAAAATCAATTTGAAGGTCACTCAATGGAGGATCCAAATGCTAACTCAGCTAATTTTTCAAAAATTTGTGATACAATCAAACTTAATGGAGTAAGTGATGATGCTATAAAGTTTAGATTGTTTCCATTTTCATTGATGATGCAAAAATGGACAATGGGTGAAAGTGCTAAATAAACAAGGTGAGGTTGATTCAATTTCTATTGTTACTGTAGCATGTTGTACTTTTTGTGGAGGAAATCATGAAATTATTAATTGTGTTGCTTTGGAACAAGTACAATATGTGAATAATTTCAACCATCCAATTCAAAACATTCTGTATTCCAACACTTATAATTCAGGGTAGAGGAATCATCCAAACTTTGAGTGAAAACATCAAGAAAATCAACAAAGACCAACTAATCCACAGAACTTCCAATCAAAACAAACACCCATTGAATCCAAACCATCATGGAAGATGGCCATTGAAACATTAGCTAATACTACCAATAGTAATATGGATAGATTAGCTAAAAATACCTTGGAGAGATTTGAAAGATTAGAGAGAAAAATGGACCAATTAACCTTAATGTATAGAAATATAGAAGTCCAACTCGATTAAATTGCCAATGCCGTGAACTCTAAAAACCAACCAAGGGGAGTTACCAAGCAAAATCAAAGTCAATCTTAGGGAGTATTGTAAGGCAGTTATTCTCCAAAGTGATAAATAATATGATGGTCCTTCTAATGTTGACCTTGTAAGGGACAAATAAGAGAGTTTGATTAATGATCAAAGGTTAAGTATAGAGGAAAAAGGAAAGGAAAAAGTTGTGGACAAAGAAAAATCAACTTTTAAAACTAATGTGCCCATACCTCCTGTACTATTTTCTCAAAGATTCAAGCAAAGTCGATTGGATAAGGAGTTTGAAAAGTTTGTTAAAATATTTAAACAATTGTATATTAACATTCCTTTTGTAGATGCTATTTCTCAAATTTCATCCTGTGCCAAATTTTTCAAGGAAATCATGTCAAAGAAAAGGTGTTTAGAGAATCACGAAACGATAGCATTGATGGAGGAATGTAGTGCATTGATTCAAAACAAACTCCCTCCAAAGTTGAAAAATCTGGTCAGTTTTTCAATCCCTCGCACCATTGGTAACATAAATTTCTTAAATGCATTATGTGATTTAGATGCAAGTGTTTCATTAATTCTTCTATGTGTTGTTCGAAAACTTAGTTTAAATGAACTTAAGAGGACTAGAATTTCTTTGCAATTAGCGGATAGGTCGGTTAAATATCCTCTTGGTGTGCTTGAAAAAGTGCTTATAAAAGTCAAAATTTCATAATTTCAGTGGACTTTGTCGTTCTTGATATGGAAGAGGATGTTAATATGTCAATTATACTTGGTAGACCTTTCTTAGCTATAGCCGGTGCTATTATTGATGTTAAACAAAGGAAGTTTAAGTTCAAAATAGGAAAAGATGAAATTGAATTTAATTTGCATGAATTTGAGAAATTTTTTTCGTTTACTAATAATGTGTATGCAATTGATATGATTGAAATTTATTTGTTTGATTATATTTTTCAAGAAGATGATGATTTGGAGATTTTGTAGATAGCTAATTTCTTGAACTCTCAAGTGCCTTATAAAAGAGGAAATTATTATAAGATATAGGAAAAGGAAAAAGGTTACCACCGTCATCAAGTGAGCAAACTCCGATTCTTGATCTTAAACCATTGTCCGATCATTTAAGGTATGCATTTCTTGGTGAAAATGATACATTATCAGTGATAGTAAGTGCTTTTTTGGATGATGTGTAGTTGGACAAGTTGTTACGAATTCTAAGGAGGCACAAACTGACAATTGGTTGGATCATTTCCGATCTCAAGGGTATAAGCCCTACCATTTGCATGTATAGAATTAAATCAGTGGTAGAAATTCAAAAACGACTTAATCCAAATATGAAGGAAGTGATAAGTATTGAGATTTTAAAGTGGGTCAATACAGGTATTATCTTTCTTATCTCTAATAGTGATTGGATTAGTCCAATTCATATTGTGCCAAAGAAAGGTAAGATGACGTTAATTGTAAATGAAAATGATGAAATTATTCCCACTAAAATTATAATGCATGGTGGCTATATTCTCCGATCATGTAGAGACGATCATGAAAATTTTTGTGGATGATTTTTCAGTTTTTGGATCTTCTTATGATGATTGTTTGTATAATTTGGAGAAAAGTTTGCAAAGATGTGAAGGTACTAATCTTATTTTAAATTTTAAAAAAAATATTATTTTATAGTTAGAGAAGGAATTATGTTGGTCACAAACTTTTTTCTAAAAGAATTGAGGTGGATAGAGCTAAAATTGAATTAATTGAGAAAATACCACCACCAAACAACATTAGAGGCAGTAGAAGTTTTCTTGATCATGCGAGATTTTATAGACGTTTTATAAAAGATGTTTTCAAAATTACAAAACCTCTATGTGATTTATTAAATAAAGATGCCACCTTTGACTTTAATGATAAATGTCTGAATGCTTTTAATAGTTTAAAGAAGGCATTAACATCAACTCTATTTATTACGTCACCGGATTGGTTATTGCCATTTGAATTCATGTGTGATGCAAATGATTATACGGTTGGGGCAGTTCTTGGACAAAGAAAAAAAAGGAAGATTGCATGTTATTTATTATATTAATAGGATTCTAAATGATGTTTAAGTCAATTACACTACAATTGAGAAAGAGTTGTTAGCCGTAATATTTGCACTTAATTAATTTAGATATTATTTAGTTGGTTCTAAAGTTATCATTTATATCAATCATGCAGTTCTAAAATACTTATTAAATAAGAAAGATACAAAACTTAAACTTATTCCATGGATTCTTCTCTTGCAGGAATTTGACATAGAGATTAGATACAAAAAAAGATCCGAGAATGTAGTTGTTGATCATCTTTCTCGTTTGGAGAATATCCCTTGAAATGAAGTTGTTCCTATCAATGAAAATTTTTCAGATGAGCAATTACTAGTTATTAAAGGTTCACTTTGGTATGCAGATTATGTCAATTATCTAGTAAGTGGCATAATTTTGAAAGATGTAAGTTATCATCAAAGGAAGCGATTTATTTATGATGTGAAACATTACTTTTGGGAGGAACCTTTGTTCTACAAGTATTATGCAGATGAAATGATACGCCGATGTGTTCCGGAAGATAAGGTACTAAATATTCTTTTTCATTGTCATAACCGAGAAATTGGTGATCATTTTAGTACATCTAAAATAATTGTAAAGGTAAAACAATTTGAATTTTATTGGTCTACTATGTATAAAGATGTTAGAAATTATGTTAGAAGTTGTGATGAATGTCAAAGAATCGGTAATATCTCTAAAAAGTATGAAATGCCTTTAAATGTGTTTCTTGAAATTAAATTATTTGAAATTTGGGACATTGATATTATGGGTCCATTTCCTGATTCAAATAATAATAAGTGCTTATTTGTTGCGGTTGATTATGTGTCAAAATGGGTAGAAACAACTGTCACCCCAACTAATGATGCAAAAGTTATAATTAAATTCATTAAAAAGAACATTTTTACTATATTTGGTATCCCTTGGGCAATAGTGAGTGATGAAGGTAAACATTTTTGCAACAAATGGTTTGACTCATTTTGTTAAAATATGATTGTAGGTATAAAATATCTCTTGCATATCATCCACAAGCTAATGGCCAAGTAGAACTAACTAACAGAGAGATTGACTTGATTTAAAAAAAAATCGTGAGTAAGTCTAGAAAAGATTGGGTTAAGAAGTTAGATGACACACTTTGAGCAAATAGGATTATATTTAAAATACCTCTGGGTATGTTTCCTTATTGTCTAGTGTATGAAAAAATATGACATTTGCCTGTCGAAATTGAACATAGAGTTTATTGGGCAATAAAGGAGTTTAACATGAATTTTTCTCTTACAAGTCATAAAAGATTGCTCCAATTAAGCGAATTGGAGGAATTCCAATTGAGTGCTTATGAAAATACAAAAATATATAGAAAAAAAGTGAAATATTGGCATGATAAGCACATTGTTCAAAGACAATTTGAGATAGGAAAAAGTTCTTTTATTTAACTCTCGTCTCAAGTTGTTCCCAGGTAAACTAAGATCTAGGTGGTCTGGACTATTTACATTTATAAACGTATACCCATATGATGCCGCGGAGGTGACTTTTGAACAAGGTCCACCCTTTAAAATCAACGGACAGCGTTTAAAACCCTATCTAACTGGTGAATTGTCCCTAAAGGGGTAACATAATCCTTAAAGGATCCTAACAATGATTGAAGAGGTAATTCTTTTGAATCAGACCAACAACTCTAAACAAAGGCGCTAATTGGAAGACAACCCAATATTTGAATAATTTCATTAGTTTAAGTTTGTTTCTATATGTATTTGATTTGTTAAAGTGTGTTTTTGTTATTTATTTTGTAGGTTTTGCAAGTTGAGGCAAAAGTCACTTTTTGAAGGTTGGCGAGAAACATTAAATATAAAGAACTCAAACCCTCGATTTGTAATTTTGATATATTTGATTTGATATAAGAGGATAAATTGCATGCTTGTATCATTTTAAACTTATTAGAAACTTTGAATTTGGTAAAATAATGATTGGGTCATGATTTATGCAAGCAGAAGAATTGAAGTTAAAAGTTGCAAAGTACAGAAATTTCCGTAGTTTTGTTGCAAAAACTCAGAGATCCTCTGATACACAAGAATGGCTCGCGGTTTTGTAACAGGAGTTCAAATCCCTAGGAGTTGCAAGGCGATTCACGAAGCAACACTGTGAGACCCCGAAATTTTACTTGTCTTTATAGTTCTTATTTGAACTTACTTGCTTTAGATTCTTGGTTGAATGCGAGCCAAGGGAGTGAATTTTGTTAAGAAAAGTTTCATAATCTAAAGTTGTTAGAAAATCTAGAAATTTTCATTGGAAGCTCTGCGCAACTTTGGGAAATCGGCTATAACTTCGTGTAGGAAAGTCGGAATTGAGTTTCGTTTGTTGCGTTTGAAACTAGACTCATAGGGCTTCCTACAGTAGAAAATTCAGAGTTTGATTCAATATCTATAAATTCTAAAAAATTGGCAAATTTGACTGAAAATTCTGCCTTGCACAAGTAAACATAGGAATGTTGTAGTAGCTTATGACTCAATTTGGACTAACTTATGAGTTGA